GGCAGCATTGTGGTGGCCAGGTGTCATGCAGCTATCCCCACCACCATGCTGCGCCGCACCACTGCTGCTGGCCACACAGCTCCGAGCACAGTCCCTAGTGGCAGTGGGAGGTTTTGTACGTAGTAGCAGTCACCGCTGACATGGGCATCCCCACAGATAAGCAGCAGTGGCTGCCCGTGCCAGCGGCGACTGCCACTGCGTACAAAATCTCCCACTATTGCCACGGAGCTGTGCTCAGACCTGTGTGGCCGGTGGCAGTGGTGCAGCATGGCAGTGGGGATGGCTGTGTGCCACCCGACCACCACCATGCTGCCGCTGCCACCTGGCAGCTGGCTGCACAGCTCTGGGCATGGCTCCATGGTGGCAGCTGGAGGTTTTGTAGGCAGCGGCCGTCAACCCCTATCGTGGTCCTCCAGGTAAGCGGCAGCAGCCACCGTGTGCAAGCCCCCTCCCCGCCACGAATCCCTCCCTAGGCAGAAGGCCGGGCAGCAGGTGTGCAGCCCACACATGGCAGGCACCACCACACTGTGCCCCACATCGCTTGCCCACAAAGCCCCCCCAGGGGGCACCCCTGCCCTTGCCCTCTGGCCCTGCTCCCAGCTGTGGTGTGCTGCCTGTAGTTAGCAGCACCCCATGCTCTCTCAGCCCCCAACCATCTTCCCCAGCCCTGCCCCACAGCCCCACTTACCTCTATACTCCAGGGGCAAAGGATGAGTCTGAGCCTGAGCCCAGCCTTGGCTGCCCCACTTGCAGGCTGGAGCTTTGCCAGCCTGCAAGAGCTCTTTGCAAAAGCAGAGAATCCGCAGATTTCTCTGCTAAAAAGGGAAATCCGCGTTTTCTCCAATAAAAACAGGGAATCCATGGTTTTCTCTGTTTTTCCATGGGAAACAGAAAACTTGGATCCCTGGTTATAACATACCATCCTTCCCTGGAACCTATACAGAAAATCCTCAAACAACTGGAGCCCCTTACTAGAAGAAGACCCAATTCTTAAAGAGATCTTTCCAGAATTACCTATCCTAGCCTTTAAACAAGCACTGAACCTCACCAACCTCATCACCAGAAGCAAACTTGCTATGGCCCAAAGCACACCAATTGGATCCAGACCATGCCAGGACAAAAAAGGTAAAACTTGCCTGTTCAACCTGATAATGGGTGGTTGGACCCAGTCTATGCAAGCAGGCCGGGAACAAAAGGGTTTCGGGGCCTTATTCCTCCCTCTTCTGTCTCTCCTTCCGTTGACAGAAAACACCAAGGAGGCGGTGAGATAAGTAAATGCTTTACTCACAGTTAGGCAGAAAAAAACACTTCTTAACAGCTGTTTCACCATTAAACTCGCTGGTGACTCGAGAGCTCTAAACACATTCGGATGGTATACCTGGTTGTGATGGGGGCGTCCGGGGGGAAGGGATTTCGTGGACGCAGGATCCTGGAAAGGGTGATCAGGCCTTTCCAAACTGATGCGTGGATCCATCCCTTCTTTTGGCGCGCTCGCCTTTTTAAACGGGCTGCATCCCCTGCGCCCCTTGCCAATCAGCGTGGGCCAGGGCCGCCGCTGTCAGGCCGCACCCACTACTTCCCCCACGCCATGAGCACGACTTGCTCCTACGTTTGACGTTTAGTCATTTTTCTTTCTTTTCTTTATCTCCTCAAACAACTGGAACCCCTTACTAGAAGAAGACCCAATTCTTAAAGAGATCTTTCCAGAATTACCTATCCTAGCCTTTAAACAAGCACTGAACCTCACCAACCTCATCACCAGAAGCAAACTTGCTATGGCCCAAAGCACACCAATTGGATCCAGACCATGCCAGGACAAAAAAGGTAAAACTTGCCAACACATCTCCACCACTCCCACAATAACTACATCCCACAACAGAACCATTACCATTCCTGGATCTTACACCTGCACCTCCAGAAATGTAATATCTCATCCAGCGGACTAAGTGCCCTGATAGAAAATATGTAGGAGAAACCAAACAACAGCTGCATATCGGAATGCTGATACACTGAAAAATCTATCAAAAATAAAAATACCCAATTACCTGTGTGTGTGTGTGTGTGTGTGTGTGTGTGTGTGTGTGTGTGTGCTCCTCACAAGACAACAACTCTCCAATCTCTCAGTCCTAATTTACAAAACACCTTTCAGACAAGCCTACGAACTTTACTTCATAAATCTACTGGATACAAAAAATCACGGACTAAGTATAGACATTGGATTTATGGTACATTATAACTTGCCTGCCATCTGATAACCCCAGGTAACTAGTCCGCATTTTCCCAGCTACATTCTACCACCATGTCAACATTCCCCCTTCCCACCCCACCCCCCACCTACTTGTCTCATACCTATTGTCTCCCATTCCCTCTGATCCTCACTGCCACACATTTGCATTTTCACAGACCTGCATTTTGCGTATTGGCTTCTAATCTATCCAGGAGAGCACACAAAACAACACCAGACTCTTCCTATGCCTGAAGAAGGGTGTTTGTGCCCAAAAGCTTGCAAAGAACAATTTTTCCAACTATTTAGTTGGTCTAATAAAAGATACCGCATCTACCCAAAGAATCTTGTCTGCCTATTAGACACTTTTTTTGGTGGTACTGGGTCATGGCTGTGACATTAACCGCATGGGTAATTGTTGCCCTATTGCCAAATTTCTAGGTCAGGATCCCTGTTGGGGACAGCTTTTGGCAGTGGGGCCAGTGATGGTATCAGAGTGAGCACAGGACAGGTAACACTGCTGCTGCTCAGTCTTGTTGTCAGAAGTAGGTCATCCAGTCCACAAAGCCCCTCAGTCTTGATCTGACCTACCAACCCAAATAGACTGGACAACCCTGGACTCTAGATAGTCTGGATAAGAAACAGGAAGATCACTTATGCACATTTTTTTTTGTTTTGAAAATCTTTAGAGCTATACATTTTGGGAAATTATGTTCTGTACTTCTGAAATATTCAGGTTAAAGACCAGTGTTTCTGCAAGTGTTATTTTATATGTTACTCCATCCCTATTGTACTTACACAGCATTGACCAAGAAAAGAAAAAGTTACATGCTGCTGATAAGTTGTGTTGTGTTTTTCACAGCATAATACTGCCACCTCATGGTAGCAAATAATTATGATGTCCGAGTTTAGACTTCACTTTTATTTCCTTTATTTCAAAGCAATAATCAGTGTGATGTTTAGACTTCATTAGCTGTCTTTAGTAGAGGGGCAGTCTGTTCTGCTGGATAGTTTCTTAAATCTTGAAGTTAAGAGTGTTTTAATGCACTTCTTTTTTTATTTTGGAAAATTAACAGGATGATTGGAAGCCCAACATTGCTTTTGTTGTGGAGAACAAAATTGAGGATGAAATCCATACAAAGGCACTGTCTCTTGCTGTGCAGGTACCACAGCGGAAGCTCTTCAGTGTGGTGTCATGGGAAGGAATTTTTGAACAGGTATTTAATACATCTTCTTATTAAAAGCTGTTGAAAATTAGAAGGTTTTTCTTCTTTGAATAAGCTTGTACTGCATATTAATATAAAATGCATGGCTAATTTAAACAATCAGACATTCATTCACATAGAAGTTAAGAAAAAAAAGAGTAGGTAAGCAAGTGCAAAGGCTGTCAGTCAGCATGTTTACACATGCAGTTAATGCACAGCAATAAACTCTAGTGCCTATCACGCCAGAGCTTATTTATTGCTTCAGAGTTCCGTATTCAAACATGTGCCCGGGACCGCAACATGTTGAGCTAGGTGGGAGCACACGTGCCTATCAGAAGGCCCAGGGCTGCTTCAACTCAGCTCAGTGTGCTGAAGAAGGGCTGGCTGGAGCATGAGGATACTTCAGTATAGGGCTAGCTGGCAGACAGCCCTACACTAAAGCACACTTGTGCCCCAGCCAGCCCTGTCAGCATCTCCATGTGTGTTGTTGAGGAGTAAAAAACTCTACCATAGGATAGTACTTGTGTTTACAAGTACTAACCTACAGCAGAGTTAATTAGTTTACTCTGTCCTAATATCACTGCATGTGTAGATGATGAGATGTTTAGTGCAGAGCTAATTATGAAAATCTTCAGTAAAGATCTTGTGTAGATGCACCCAGTTCAGTGTAGTCCAGGTCTTTATCCAGACAAGGTTTAAATGTATAAGTAATAGTTTTATTACAACCCTTAGAAAATTATGATACAGTCTAATACATCTCACTTTTAGGCATTCAAAGAATACTCAAGAAAAACTTGATTTCAACAAACATAGGATATTTATTTAAATAAATCTGTTATTCATAGTAGCGCACTTTGCTTATCTTACAGATCCTGGAAGCTGGAAATCAAAAGGGAAAAAAGACCAAAGATGTGCCTGTGTATTATGAGGTAGGTTAAATCATTTTTTGCAGTCAACATGATTTTTTGAGGTATATATACCTAATTAGTTGTTTTGCATAGGCAAGCAAAAAAACCTCCGACCCAGTCAGTTATAGCTGATAAAAACACCTGTGGTGCCAAGATGCCGAAATTGCTTCCTTTCTGTTCTGTTGCACCTTAATCAGGAGTTCACTAAAATATTTGTACAGAAAGCAAAAAAGGAGTATATGAGGAGCAAGTTATCTTTTGGGATATTGATTTTATTATCATGTTTATGATATATTCTGTAGATGTATTTTGCTGGTGGGCTCATATTAAAGAGGCATAGCTGAAGTTTGTTCTTTTGGACATTCATGGTAATTGACATGCTTAACCATTCTACACTAGTGAAAGAACAGACCTCTAGAAACAGTATTCCTACTGGAGTGTCCCTATGACAGCTAGTTGATGTAAAATTCTAACTTGGTTGACCCATTGGGGTATATTTGAAGAGAGAGGCGATAAAATCCTGTAATTAGAAGGTTGCTTAAACTTTCTCAGGTAAGAATCTTATGGCCCTGCAGACCTGGAGCATGTAGATTTTAGGATCTCTTTTAAAATAACTTTTTTGCATTTTAGCTCACTACTGAGTAATTATTTTTTTGTGTGTGTCTCTGGTTTTGATGGATTCTATAACAGGTCTTTTTAGTTACAGTCTGTTTTTCATTAATGCCAGAATACTATCTGAAACCGTGCTATTGACATGACTCTGAATTTTATGCAACCCTTCCCAGTAAACTTATTCTATGCTTTTGGGATCCCAGAGCCTTTTGGGGATTTTGACAGAAGGATTTTAAAGTTTGGCTCTATAGAGGAGTTTTGCATGATACCTATATTTAATTACTAATAGCAGTTTTTCTGGTGGTGTGCATACTTATTAAATTCCAGGTGTTAATGCTGTGTCTCATTAGCTGCTTGCTGTATTCATAGATTCATAGATTGTAAGGCCAGAAGGGACCTTGGAAGATCATTGAGTCCAGCCCCTTGCACCAAGCAGGAAAGATAACTGGGGGTCAGTTGACCCCAGCGAGGTGACTGTCTAGTCTCCTCTTGAAGATTTCCAGGGTAGGTGATTACACCACCTCTGGAGGAAACTTTTTCCACAGTCTAGACACCCTGACTATGAAGAAGTTATTTCTGATGTTGAGCCTGAATCAATCTTTCAGGAGTTTGTGGCCATTACTCCTGGTTTTCCCCTCAGGTGCCCTGGTGAACAGTTGCTCACCGAGCCCTTGATGTACTCCCTTAGTGTAGTGGTAAGCTGTTACCAGGTCCTCTCTCAGCCTTCTTTTCCTCAGGCTGAAGAGTCCCAGATCCCTCAACCTTTCCTTGTATGGCTTGCCTTTTAAGACTCTGATTTTACAGGTGGCTCTTCCTTGGACTCTCTCAAGCTTGTCCATGTCCTTGTTAAAATGTGGTGCCCAGAACTGGACTCAGTACTCCAGCTGCGGTCTCACCAGTGCTGAGTAGAGTATTCCTCAAAGACATTTTTTTAAACAAAGAATACTTGCCTTGACCTTTTCTGACGTGGCTGTTGAAAATTAAAAGACTGATCACACTATGACAAACATAAAGATTCTTCCTCTCTTTGCAGAGTTTTCATAGTTTCATAGTAGTTTGGGGTCAGAAGGGACCTGAACAGATCATCTAGTCTGACTCCTGCCACTGGCAGGAGCACATGCTGGGATCACACGACCCCAGACAGGTGTTCATCCAACTTCTTTTTTAATTTACCCAAGGTAGGAGCGAGGACTACTTCCCTAGGAAGTTGGTTCCAGATCCTAGCCACCCTAACAGCAAAATAGTGCCTCCTAATCTCTAACCTGAACCTATTCTCCAGCAGCTTCTGGCCATTGTTCCTCGTCACCCCAGGTGCTGCTGGGGGGAATAGGGCCCTTCCTTTTTGCTGCTGATCTCCCCTAATGAGTTTGTAGGCAGCCACCAAATCCCCCCTCAGCCTCTGCTTGCTGAGGCTGAACAGGTTCAGGTCCCTC